GAAAATTATAACATGCTATACAGAAAGAACAGTAGCAGGTAGAAACAGAAAAATTAAATGCTGTGAAATGTAAAGCAAACTTGTACGCCTGTGAGATCCGATGTTCCTTAAGTATAGCAAGCCTGAATGCATCTCAAAAAACAAAGTCCGGAAGAAAACGTCATCCAGGAAATCCGAGGAAAAAAAACGGGAAACCCGAGAAAATCAGCGAAAAAGACTCAAGTAAAAGAAAATCCTCAAAACTTCTGGGGAAATCCCGAAATGAAGGAAAAGTAACACTAGTGCCCTGTCCCAAAGCTTCGATTAAACAAAAAGAAAATTCAGATGAGGGGGACCGCAAGCACTCGTATGGGACTAAGCTCAGCTATACATTTATTCTCGAGGGTCCACGAAGGCTACTCGGTCACCCGAATGGTGACCGAATGTATAGAACCCACCACCCGTCTAGAAGGGTGTCTTGAACCTCACTTAGAGGGCTATTTCCTAGCCCTAAATAGGTATTCGTCATGTGGACAACTAGCTTTAAAATACGTTTTATGTTTTAAACATGCACACATATTTTAAACATGCAAAGAAGAGTTATCAATGAAGAGTTATCAATTTTTTCAATTTTTGTTTCGTAGAAAAGTATATTTTTGTTTGAAAATGGTTTATCCAAACTTATCTTCTTTTCTCTCTTTTTTTTTTTAGAAATTCTTGTTGTCCACGAGTCGATTACGCTATCAGGTATAGGACTACCAACAACCTGAGGAGGTTCGAGCCAACTCCCGCTAGACTTATGTCGGTGAAGGACATCATATCCTATTGTTCATCAAATGCTTGGATTTTGATGTTATAGGATAAGGCATCTTTCTGCTCTATCTTCGGTGTGCCTTTATCATCAACACCGTACGCCCCAAAACGACTACTTGCGACCTTGCTTGATGGTTTCACGTATAGCAAAAGGCTATACGTGGACACTTATGCATCAGGCATAAGAGAGTCCAAGGTCTTTCCTAACAAACGTAAATGGCCACCTCGCGCTAATTTTTCCAAACCCCAAAGACATAGGATTGATCAAGTCCACCAAGTGCTTTTCCAAAATGAGGTT